TGCTCTTTATTTCATAATTACGGTTTCATATTTTTAATTGTATAATTTGTGCATGCCATCTTATCAGATTTAAGTTATCAGATGATCTATAATCCGGAAAAACCCTTAATCGGGAATCGCCGAAGTCCCGACGAGTCCGGATTACCGTCTTTGTACTGTACTAATTGCTGGAAAGCACATAAGTTTGATGCATTATGAGATGCTGCCTTTGAGCATTTTACTTTCAACTGCGAATATAATTTCACTAACCCTGAAGTTGATGTCGTACACAAATGATAGAGCAGTTGAGGGGGAGTGCTAAAGGGTGTAATTGTTGAATAATGAAAATTTGGGTATTGTTGAATATACTTTTTTTTTTAACTTGAAACTTTGACTCAACTTAACACGGGGTGCCGAACACACTAACTCAAAAATATATATTCATATGAACATTCATATACCATATCGACATTTTTATAAACAATCGTATAGTGGTACAGGGAATATATATTCATATGAACATTCATATATCATATCGACATTCTTATAAACAATCGTATTGTGATACAGGGTTCGTAGCGGTCCTTACAAGTGCTTATAAGTCCTTATATTTGAAAATAAAATATAAAGGCCCTTATAGGTGCTTACTTTTTCTTTAAAACCCTTATTTTTTGTTTTTAGTGCTTATTTCTTGCTTTTAGTGCTTTTTTTTTAATCCTTTGTTTTTAATGAACGCGCATTTTTTCCCCGTACCAAAGCCGAAACTAAATAAACAACTTTTCTTCCTTATATGCAATGTCAGATGGTGAATCATACTCCCGAAAATTACTTTCCCCCCTTCCTCTGCATTAACGTAACCTATGGTACGTGCGAGAGTACAGACAGGTGCATGTCGTTCTATTGGCCAAAGAATTGCGAAAACGTAGAAAATTTCGGTACATTCGGTATTCTTTTTCTCCCAACCAAATACTACACACGTTTGAATTTCTACCAAGATTTTAATAATTTGCATTCTTGTTCCGCGTAGTCAGTTCATATTCGTGTTTATGATGATCGTTATACTTATATTATGAGCATATGTATGAATATTTATAATAATATAGTTGCAGTAACTGCTGAAGTATAGATAAACTTCCAAAAATGGGTGTGTTTTTACACAGATTAGCTTTTTAAGAAAATAATATTCGGAATGGCTTAAATAAAAGGAAAGTAATGGAATAGTCAAAATAATTTCATTTTCTTTTCCAATACATTATACAGTACGGAGGTTGGGAGTTTCTCCGCAAAATCTCTAATATTGAAGCAGCGGATTTTTTTTTGTCACTGTCCAATCTGGATTGAATAGGACTTTCTTTTAAGTTTTTGCGGTCTACCCAACCCAAGCGAAGATTGAGTCTATTCCGGAAATTTAATACAGTCTGTTGAAAATTAAAATCAGAAACACCCCAGATTAGTAAGTCTCTTTCTTTTCCTTTATTTAGTTCTTTTTCTCCGAATATCATACCGGCAGGTGTTGATTCCGATTGCGTAATATCACATATGGAAGAATTACGCCGCACGTATTGTGCAATAACGTTTGCTGTATTTTGCACTGATAATTAATTTTGATGTTCAGTCTGAGATTTGTTTATGAACACTTGAAAGAGTTTTACTGTGCTTTCTAAGCAGAATATTTCTCAGTTCCGTTGGTTTTTATATGATGCACATATCGAAATGTCAAAATCATTTATTTAGCCTAAATTTAAATCTAAAGAACGGCTACAATCTCCCCCACTGCTCTTTTCCAGTTACTATCCGGAATATTCGGGAATTTCCGAGTATGCGGGTTAGTTAAGCTTTTACTGTTAAAGGATGACTGCATGAAGCAATTTCCTGTCTTCTGATTTCAGAAATGTGCCTCTTTTTTACTTATATTACTTTGTTTGGGAAATATGTTAAGGGAAAACTGTTATGCAATGAAAATTTAGAAAATGTTCAGAATTTTGATTTAAGTTAAATTATTTAAATATTAATACGAGTGGAAAAATAAATTGTATTTATTATTAGGTGCCAAACGAATACAATTAATATGGCTTATTATTATTTATTTTCTGTATTTTCAACTGAAATATCATCATTAAATTTTGTAATATAGTTTAGTTCTGCATAGTTTTTTTTCCTCTCATTGTAAACTAATTCTGTAAATTGAACTGTCATTTAAAATTTAAAAAAAAAAAAAAAAAAAAAGTTAATTGTTTTCCATTGTTGAGGTAATGCTCATTCTCTTAATAAATATTGCATTGCTCATATTTTAAATTACAAGTCTAATTTTTCTTTTAAGGTTATGCAGTTGTGTATAATGTAATTAGACAGGTGCTTATTTTTTCTTAAAATGTGCTTGAAAAGTGCTTATAGGTGCTTATTTTTTTAACTAAAATGTGGCTATGAACCCTGTGGTAGTAGAATTTAACTTTTAGGTTTGCATTGTGAGTAACCTATGCAAAAGGAAATATCAATAACCTTAAATTCAAGTAAACTCCATGTTTCTTAAAAGCCTCCCAGCTCAAAAAAAAAAAAAAAAAAAAAAAAAAAAAAAAAAAAAAAAAATGGAGGGACATGACAGACCACAATAAATTATACACAAATACAATTAAATTTTAAACACACATTTATTAAATTCTAGAATATTGTTATATTACTAAATAATGGATAACTGATCAGTAATCCTACCACATACTTTTACTATGAAAAGTAACACATAATGTCACACGCAATTACAGCTTACAAAAATTAAGATTAATATTATCAAATCCTACTGCATCATAAGAATAACACCAGTATTTCTCTCATTTCATCTTCTAACTTTAAGTATTTATTCTCTTTAAGAACACTGATAATTTCCACATCGATTAATTAATTTAAGTAATTGCTCAAATTTCAACAAACATTCAAATGACGACTCTTGCTTGAGTATTAAGATAATTATTAAAGTAAAACAAATTAAAAAAAAAAACAAGTCACTCATGGGGTGAAGTCAGAAATCGCACACTCCCTTTACTCTGGAATACCTTTGTAAACTGATTAATAAGGTGATTTGACAGCTCCACAGATTGTCCAGCATCCAAAGTTTACTTGAGCACCACATTATTCCTGCTGTCCTTTATTCACAAAGTCACCATTAATGGAGACAGACAGATCATACGAATTTTAAAGATGTCTTGGTTGAAACACCACTGAAGCTGTCCTTACAATTAATAAATTCCAGAGATGGAAGAATGGAAAAAGATTGATGCAGCTGACACAGGCAGAATAAACAGCATCACGCACTTTAGACGGATCCCATACGACTCTCTTTCGTTCTGGAAGCCCCGAAACCCACCAAAAACGTAAAGCACCTTTGGAACAAAATCTAATTAGGAAGTCAAAGTCGCTAAAAACAGGAATACTGTATCAGGATCCCCACGAGAATCTGCATTACAATTCTTGGAACAAGAGAATCGAAATTCTATTCTGAGCACTACGCCTTATGCCAATGCAAATTCTCACCAGCTAAACGCCGAGAGAAAATCATATCCGCTGCTCGCTGGTTCACGCGGCCTGCAGCAAGGAAAGGCCGCAACAGAGCAAACATCCCGATCTTTTTTTTTTTCTTTCAGCTTAAGTTCACATCGCAGGTGTCAAATCAGACTCCAAATCCGACGCAATAGCCGGCGCTCGCGAGAGCAAGACCCGCAGGGGTCAAGCCCCACTCCTTTCTCCTCTTACTCCTCGCTTCAAAATCAGAATAATCAGGAATAATTGAACTCTAGCCTGGTGCAAGCACCCAGGAAATCTCGGTTTCTCCGCCTCTGTGAGTTCATAGGCTTTCAAAAATCGTAAAATTAAAATCACACCAATTCCAGAATTTTACGTTATCTAAACTCAGAAAATGACACACCCATCACGAATCAAACACCAGAAAATCTGACAATGCAGTCCGAAAAACATCTGTAACACAACATGAGAAAAAAAATGGACCCCCCAACTAACAAGCGGAACTAAGCTTTACGAGAATCCAATTACCTAAGCTTAGTTCAAGCCACTGGCTTGAAGTAAGCAAAACAGCAACTTCAACAAAGCGAAAGCAAGACGATTTTCGTTTCACACGCCATTAATAAAAGGCGAGAACACAACACCCTACTGCCTCCAATGTTAGTAAAAAGGCCATAAACCAGATGGCTCTTGCAACCGTTTCCTGTCGTTGTTACACTACACTTTCAAGAACTACCAGTTAAACAAGGCTTTAAACAATTTAAGAATACTTTTTTCCAGATTAAAATACACATGAATACAAATAAAATATTAGAATAATAATAACTTAAAACACATGTTAATAATTAAAATTTGCAACATAACATAATAAACACATTGGGTATATCTATGTATACACTGCTTAACAGCGCCTTGATCATTATTTGTTTGAATGTATGTGGAGTTTTTTACTTCAGAAACTGAAATTTGCTTTGAATTGTTGGAAGAAATTAAAAAATTTATGCTCCCCATTTAAATAGTTATGTCATCCATTTTATTTATTTATTCTTTTTAATGGATTGTATTAAATAAGAAATCAACCTTTTGCTTAAATCAATATTCTTAGATAGTTATTCTATTATTTTTTCCCCCTTGCATTAGGGTATATGATTCGAAAAGTGTTATTGATGCCAAAGATTCAAAATTGATTATGATGATGATTTAGTTTGGCATTTTTTTTCGTTCCTGATAACAGAATTATATCTTTTTTTTTTTTTTAATGGGCTAGGTATGCATTTCTTGTCTGTAATCATTCACTTGCTTCATAATAATGAGAACATAAATTTATTTTATTTATTTTTTTGACTGGAAAAGTATTCAGTCATAGAAAACCAAAGAAATTTCAGTATTTCTTTGGAAATCTTATACTTTTATAAACTGTCATATAAAATTATGTTTGGGCATTATTATTATTAGTATTTTGAATCTGATATAAACTTGTTTCGTTGTTAATGTTAAATTTTATTTCCCAGGCCTTACTCCAGAGATCCTGAAAACATTCCGCAAAAATTTTCTAGCTGATCCTAAAAATATTCTGGCCTCTAATGCCTGTTTGAAGTATGATCCCTTGGACATTTGCGTGGATAAACAGATCTTTGATTGTGTTAGTCATGTGTACACTCACAAGGTTAGTGTTCTTCCCCTTCCATTATACTGAGTACTACATTACATTGTATTTTGCATTACTCAAGTGAAAATCTTATGCTGTATTTTACGTTATATGATATAAGAATATTGTCTAAGCAGTATAAGTCAGGATTATGTAAAGTGCTTGGTATGTCATAAATGTTACTTAAAAGTCTGTTAATTTTGATTTCAGAAATATATATGTAATTTATAGAAAGTATTAAACTATAAAATGGAAAATATCTTACGTATGCCATCGGCATATACAAATTAAAGTACTATATTATGACATCCATTCTAATATTTGATATTTGCAGGTTGCATTTGGTTGCCAGTTATCATGTTATTATAGCTCAGTCTATTAACGCAAGATTTTAAATTCCATGTTTTTCTTCTTGGCTAAGATCTTAAAATGGATCAGTGCATTAAGCACGACATCCAAAAGTGGAATTAGCAATCTCTTTTGGTTTGTATAATTTCATCTGTTCTTTTTAAGCTGTCATCTTTGCAACAGTTTTTCTTTACTGACAACTGAGAGCTTTGGTGATTAACAGAAATTGGATTTATATTCTTCAGTTTTGTATCTAAGTGTTAACTCATTTTTATTAAAAAAAAAAAAATGTTAGTTCTTTGAAAAGCTTATTCTTTCACTACTGCTGAATATATTTGTCTTGTTTCGATTGCTTTGAGCAGCATATTTATTTATTGCTTGGCTCTGTCATCTGCTTGATATTGCTATTATTGATGATTCCGTAGTTATCTAGAAGAATTTTTGACTGTAGCACATTGCAGTGTCATCAGTGTTATATATTTGAGATAGCATTTAATTTTTCAAATGATCTATTAACAATTATTTTCAGTGCATCAGTTCTACTCTGGGAGGGACTATATGTAAGCATTCTGTCTATATGAGTCATCTATCTATCAGTAGAAATAGTATCTTCCTAAAGCATTTTTTTTTTTTTTTGTATTTTTTGGTGTCATTCCTTGGTATAATAGAAAAGGCGAAGAGAAGAAAAAATGTGGGCAGCCTCAGCAGATGAATGTTTATGTTCACAGAGAATTAAGCGTTGCCATACTTTTTAATTATGTCATTTTTCTAAAAATATTCTTGCCACATTCTGTCATTTTTTGTGAGAGTTTTCTCATCTATTGGGATCTTTGTATGTACTGCTTGAGGAACAATCTGAAAGCCTGTTTACCTTATTTAAAGTCTAGATTTCCTGAGTGAAGCTTTACCAGTCTGCTGTGAGCTTATTATAACTGTAAGACCAGTGGTGAAATTTTGGTATCCTGCCACTTCTATATGTACACTGCGTAAAAAAAGAAAAAGAAAAGGGGGACAGTTCTATATCTCCCGTTCTAGTTGGGCCAATTATCTCCCGTTCTACTGGGCCGATTGACGAAATTCAACTTGCGTTTATCATGCCTCGAAAGCGCGACTTAGGATATGTGTCAGATTTATATATAGCATTGTTCTAATATAGGTATTTTGACACAAAATTGGACTTTTTCTGAAATAATATATCATTTTTTTTTTCCATATTTCAATTCTACGACTCAAATTACCTCAAACTACCAAGTTTTGTAAAAATCGCACGAGTAGTTTTTAAAAATTTAGCTCCTCAATGTTATTTAAGTTTGGTATATATTTATTAATCTCTCTTTTTTTATTAAGCTTATTTTATTCTTCCTTTCACGTTTCAAAATTCAGGTTCCATTCCAAATAAAATTCACCCATTTTTTATGATTTAATTTTATAAATTTTTCAAAAATTTTTTGAATTGTAATCTATAAAACTTCTACCATCATCTTAAAATAGACGTATTTCTAAGCATACCTGCAAAAAATTACAATTTTTTATTCAAAATTTCTGAAGATATATGTGAATTTATATATTGGCGCGTTTTGAAATTAAGCATATTTGTTGAAAGTGATAAAACATCAGATGTGGCTTAAACACTTTGCTAAAATAATTATTTGGAAGTAGAAACGATGTGACTTTTTTCCCACTCTTGCACAATGTAAAAACATAGAAACAAGGTAACTTTTTTTCCACTCCAGCATAATAGAAGGGGGAAAAAAATTGGTTGCCATATATTAAGAAGTTTGCCAAGTGAATTTCTCTTGGCCAAACTGAAAGAATTTTGACAAGATAAATTTTTGAATTTTCCGTAAATTTTGCACCAAATTTTACAAAATTTAATAGCTAGGCATAATTTGAGTCATAGAATCGAAATATGGAAAAAAAAATTGCAATGTTATTTCAGAAAAAGTCTGATTTTATGTCAAAATACCTATGTTAGAACAATGCTAATATATATCCTAAGTCGTGCTTTCGAGACATGAAAAACGCAATTTGAATTTTGTCAATCGTCCCAGTAGAACGGGGGAGATACTGTCTCCCCTTTTTTTGCGCAGTGTACACCTACACTCACTGGAAGGATGCAAAATAGTTCTTAAAAATGAAAAAAAAAAAAAAAAATGAAAGCAGCGTCAAAATGTTTGTTTCCTTTAATGAAGTTTTTCTGAAAACTGTTAAGGCTGCAATGATGAGCATGTAAGGAAAAAGGGGGGGGGAGGTATTCAATATTCACAAAATGGAAAAAGTGCTAAAAGAATCTGTTCCCCCCCAAAAAAAATACAATAAAGGAGACTACTTTACTTTATTTGAAACTCATCATGCCTGTAACTTTCTGTGGGAAGACAGTATTCTTTAGTTGCTTCAGCTTAAAATCTTTCACTTGTTATTAACAGATATGCTAGAAGAAATTTTGGTTGGAACTTTAGGTAGCCTTGTAAAAACTTTAAACCAAATATATGATATATGGATGTTTTGAAATATTAGAATTAATGTTTTAAATATATTTTTCACTTTACTATTTTAATCAAGAATAAACATAATATTTATTTGCTTATAAAAATTCTAAAGTTATTGAAAATTATCTCATGTTTTGTTGTGTGCCAGAATCACAGTTGCTTTTTTTTTTTTCCCCCTGGAAGAAGCTTCAATTTTCCAGGACAAGTAAAAAAAAAAAAAAAAAAATGTATTAGAGAGAAACTAGAAGAACTTAACAGTGATGCTACTGGATAGAGGAGGGTGCAATAAATTGACTTACAACTGTTTCAACTTATTTGAAAATAAATGTTCTGTCATTTCTGCAGTAAAATGCAAAGTAATTAAAAAATAAAATGCAATAACTAAAGTTATTGAAAAATTTATCATGTTTTACTGTGGTGTGCTGGTGTGCCAAAATCACATCTGTTTTTTTTTTTTTTTTTTTTTTTTTTTTTTTTTTTTTTCCCCTGGAAAAAGTATTTTTCTTTGAAGCCAGAAGTCAGTGAAAAATGGAAGGATTTAACAATTATGCAGCTGTCAGAGTGGGGTGCAATAAACTGACTTTGTTTAACTTATCTGAAAATAAATGTTCTGTTATTTCTGCAGTAAAATGCATTGTAATTAAATCATTTTCCCTAAAAAATCCAATGAAAGGCGTAGCACAATTATTTATCTATTGATGCAATATTTCATTTCAATGTTTCCCCTCAAACATATTGGCTCAATAAGAAATGATGATTCCACTTTTAAGATTTTTATGAATAAGCTAATTTTTGTAAAATGTGTATAATTTTATAATAGCTTTTAGGAAGAATTCAGTGTTTTTGATGTCCCAATTTATATAAAAATTTGTTTTACAGCTTTTCTTTGTCTTCATCTTTCCTTAGAACTAGTAGCTATTAGCCAAAGAAGCTTTACCTGCTGTTGTAACAAAATTTATTTTTGGCTGTTTGCATATGAACTTGCAGTTATGTGTCAAGATACATAATCAGCTAAATAATATTTTTAGTTTTCTTTATCTGTTACTTTTAATTTTTCTGCAGAAAATATGCAAAAAAATTCACTGTTTTTACAATGATGTAGATTCAGTTTTGTAATTCAATTTCATTTAAAAATTTAATTTTGTTTTCTATTTTTAGATAATTATGTGATGTTGCTATATTTGCTTTGATATGAACTGAAATTCAGATTTAAAAACCTGTCTCAATTTACCAATATGAAAACAGATTTTTGAGCAAGTTGAGTATTACTAAAAAAACGTTATTTTCAAGTCTACAGATGAGATTAGTTAAATTATGTAGAAAATGAAAATATTTAAATAATACTGTTATGCATGAACAAAATGTAGATATAATAATTAACTATGAAATGAGTTCAAAAATTAGTTTCTATCATTTATGACAGAAACCTGTTTTTGTTCTGCCAGTTTTTGTTCATTTTGAAACAAATTTGCTAAATCTGTCCAAAATTGTTATTTATCGTATAGTATATTTCTATAGTATTTATGACATGTGTAATGTTTAAAAATAATTATAGGTGGATTCTGAAATCAAGCCTGTAACAAATCAGAAAAATTCTGGTAGATGTTGGCTGTTTGCAGCTCTTAATGTGCTGAGAATCCCTTTTGTAAAACAGTATCAGTTAGAAGATTTTGAATTTAGCCAGAGTTACCTCTTTTTCTGGGAAAAGGTTGGTTGTAAGATTTCTGTCTTTTATGTATGTTGACATATTTTTATGCATTCACTGTGGTATGATGATATATCATTGTGAGTATTTTAAAAATTGGAAAATAATGTAATACTTCAAAATAAGAAAATGTATAACAATTCAAAATAAGAATCATCAGAAATGAATTTTAATCAACAGTTATAGACAGTTATTATCATTATACACATAAGATAGAAATACAAACTTTATTGTAAAATGGTGAGACAGTTTTAAATATTTGGTACAGTTGAAAGTTGTTTTTTTTTTTTTTTTTTTTTTTAATAGAATTAAAGGCAGATTTCATAGAGCTGTAGGAAAGCCATTGATAAGAAACTAACGAATTATTTATTGAATGGAGACACAAGGAATTATGCATCAATACTGATAGCATAAGATATATGAAAACAAAACATCTCCTTCTCCAAAGTACTGTAGCAAAGAATAGTGTTGATTGATTAATTGATTTTGGCAAAGCAAAAATTACAATGAAATAAAATGTGAAATTCCAAAGTAGATTTGCAGCTGACATTATTTTGGAAATTGTAATTTGAACCATTTTTACCATAATGGTGTGTTTTGTGAATGCCTGCTATGAATTTACCTTAAATAAGCAAGCCAGGTCAAGACGAAAACTCAAAATGCTGTGTTAGTTTGAGGAATATTATAGTTTGAGAAACGCATCTAAAACTGATTAAAAAACAGAAAAATAAGCAAAAACTGAGTTAAAAGTAATTTCAGCAGCACATCAGCTTTAAACAGACTAAGTCTCATCTTCAACTTACTGCTAGCTTTGAAAGCTGGCAGTATGTTGCCATTGAGACTTGAATCTGGTGGCCAAAGGATAAGAGGCACTAAAAAATGTCTTTTTATTTAACTGAATTTTTTTAAGTGTTTTCTGAAAACTTTCAAAAAGTCATCAGATTGACTAAAAACTAAAAAATATAGCCAATTCGTCAATAAAAATTATCATGAAAGGATAGTAGAGAGCCTTCAGTCTATGTATTAGGTTCTCCTTATGTTAGTTTAATCATTCTGGTGTAAATTTGTTTTTAGTGTCGACTGGCTTTAGTTTGAATTGTTTAGGATAATTTAAAACACTGCTTGTGTTGTTCGTGTTATTTTTCAGAACTAAATTTCACTGATGTTTTTGTGAGGATGATATTGAAGTCACTTTGTTCATATTAAAATATTTAAGGCTTATCAAATAAAATTTGACTTCAATTAATATATCTGATAAGTAAATTAAAATTACTTCATGTAACTTATCTTATTTGAATATTTTTAATGAAGTTTCATATGTAAAAAATCAATGGTGTTTTTTAAATATTTTCCAGTTTGAGTGTATTTTTAATTAATATGTCTTTATATAATTGGAGATAAATGTATGCTCTGTAAATAATTATTTCTAAGTTTCTAAGTTTCTGTGTTTTTTCCCATAGTTTTTAGTCAGTTTTTTTTTTTTTTTTTTTTTTTTATAGGTTGAAAGATGCAATTATTTCTTGCATACTGCTGTGAGTGTGCTGCAAAGAGGGGAACCAGTAACTGGTCGTCTTATGTCTTTCCTTTTAAGTGATCCAATATCCGATGGTGGTCAGTGGGATATGTTAGTGAATATAGTGACGCGATATGGTGTTGTTCCTAAGAAATGTTTTCCTGAAACGTTCTGCTGTGAAACAACAGGGCGAATGAATGGTATTTTGAAATCAAAGGTAACTGCATACTTTTTTAAGCAATTTATTTTAACCAAATCTGCCTTTTTAAACAGCAGAAAATATTTTTTTTTGCTACTTTGGTAGTAGAATCTGGTTGAAATTAGCAAAAAATGACAGCGTAGGAAATCTTAATAAATTAGTAATATTTGCTATAGCTAATTTATTGATTTATGAACTGTTGATCAATAACATATTTTAGCTGTTCATATGAGATTGTAAAGACAAAAATCTGCTTTATTGAACTTTTTTTGTTTAATTTTTATTGAAAATATGAGAGAAATTCGTTACATTAAGAAAATTATTAAATCAATATTCTACTATTTGTAATTATAAAATGTTTCAGTGTAGCTAAAATTGTCTTCAATCAAATTTATTTTTCCTTTACTTTAGCTTCGGGAATATACAAAAGATTTGCATTTAATGATTCAGAAGAATAGTAGTGAAGATAAGATAGAAGAGAAAATTATGACCTACATGGAAGAGGTAATTTATATTTTAATTGATTTATAATTTGCCTTTTAATATTTTGATTTGTAGCTGTCTGTACTATTATATTACTATGATGCTTATATGCTGGTATTCAAAATCTACACAAAAAACAAGAAAAATTAGCTTGCACTATGAAAGGAATTATTCATAGCCACAAAATTTACTTACATGTAAAATTATGATATGCATGAAAAATGTGATTTGTGTTTTGTGCTGTGTATTTTTTCTTTCAATAGTTGTTTTTGCTAGCTGTCTTTTTTTTTATATTATTGTGATGATGATGTATTGATATCCAAAAATTAAGCAACAAATGGAAAAAGTATAAATTTTCCCTGAAAGGAATTACATGCAGTTACAAAATCTACATGCATGACATATATACATCTGTAGAAACTAACCAGTAGAAATAATTTTGCCTATTAATACTTTTTAATAAGGACGTATGTTAAGTGTAGAAGTAGATTGTTTTTGTTCAGAGTCATGTTATGGTCTGTAGGTTTGAAAAATTAAGATGATGCTGATGAGCAGCGACAGAACATGGGAAACCTCTAGCTTCAGAAGTGCATCTCGAAGAAACTCAGTGACGTTGGAACTCCAGTAATTCCCAGCAACCTTGAAGCTCTAAACGTACGCTTAACCCGGCGGAAGTCGCACCAAGAAAAGTTACTAGAGTGGGCATGTGGGGTATCACATACCCCAATATTTAAAATATGATAAAAATAGTGTTATTTAGTTTTAAAACTGTTTTATTTTATTTATTTATTTATTTTGTTCTCGTGTATTATAAATACGTAAATAATAATTGAGTTTCAAAAAATTAATTTCCAAAATAATCTTAAGAGTTAAAATTAAGATAAATGAAAATAATAAAAAAATAAACATCATGCCTCTAACTTTCATTGCATCTCTAATACATCATGCTTATTTTATTTCTTCACACTTTGAACGAAATACATTCATGTGTTCTTGGCACAGAATGTTTTCACATTTTAAACATTGCATTCACGTTCTTCTGTCCTTGGGAAACCGATATTGGAGTCTGTTTAAGGCACCACGGGTATTTTCTCATAGTTATAGTTCCAGTAACGCGAAACCTTCGGAATTATACTTGAAAAAGAAGCCATTTCCTTGATTCAATATTATCATCACTAAAACTGTATCTTCAGCACGAGCAATTCGGGATTATAACGGAAAGGAAAACACGCCCTTATTCCATATTCCATTCCATCAGAAAATCTGTCTCTTTTTTACTAAAAAGCACCATGATGAAATCAAGACCATTATGCCGCAGAACAAGAAAACACTTCGCTGCTATCTATCACGATGAGAGTCCGCACGGGCTCGCACAGGTCTCCACAGCCAGAACCAAAGGGACGCAGTAGTATCCCTTAACTGCAACCCACGGTTGACCCCCGAAAGGATGCCGCATTTCCTTTTTTCTCCGCTCCTACTCCGAAGAGTTGGTCAGAACTCGCACAAATACTCCGCTATCGCCCACTGATTGGTGCAGCAGCACATATCTGACCGCGGCCAGCCCCGAAGGAGCCGCTGTCAAGGAATCAAACTCGCTTAGGCTCTGGAAAGTCTGCTAAACCAAATTCAGTCAAAAATCTGCTAAAAAAAACTGTCTTTGACAGCTTCAGAGCTATATAATTGCACTTTGTCATAGACACGATATCATCATCATCAACATCAAATTAAACTAAACAGAGTTATTAGTTTAAATCAACTTAATATAATACAGCAAGATATAATATAGTCGTGTAAAGAAAAATATGTCTTGGCGGCGAAACAGCCACGTCGAATAGTCCCATTTCCTTAAAAATAACTCAACAGCAGTATTTTGGATATCTCCTTGTTCTATAAACACATCAATATCTTCCTCTTCACAAACTACAAAATTGTTACTAAAAATATCTGAAATTTCAGTCATTTCATTACTTAATCTGGATTTAAAAAGTTCTAACTGAGCATAATCAGCAGAGTCATAACTCAGTGTAATTTTCTCCGTTTAGTTAACTTAGCTCAAACATCATGCAAATGATATAGTCTGGTGGGAACTAATAAATCTCATCTTTGATAAATTTGGTGTCACAGAACCTTTCATTGAATTTAGTCTGTTTAAAATTCAAAACATGAAATTTGGAAATCTATGATTTAATAGAAATTCTTTATAAAGTAAAACCAATATCTTTTTTTTCCAGCTATATCGCATTATTGCAATATGTTTAGGAGTTCCACCTGAAACTATCACATGGGAATATTATAACAAGAACAAAGTTTATGGTGTTATTGGGCCAGTTACTCCTCTTAAATTTTATGAAGAACATGTCAAGCCATATTGTAATGTTGAAGATAAGGTAAGAATATATGCTACTTTTTGTAATATTATATAATTATTTTATAATAATTAATAAATATTGATTATTAAAAATTAAACCACAAAATAAAATTCTGAATGAAAATAAAATTTCATACCACATTTTAAATTAATTATTATAGTAATTTTATAATTATAATAATGAGGATATATTAATGCATAAATAAACATTGAATTCAGGTTAGGGTAGGGAAGGGAATATTGCATCATATCAATTATTGAGCAAAATTGTTAAGTTTAAATCCGTTATGGGAGTTTGCTCTTGATATAGTCTGGTTACAGTGTTTTGTTCTATATAAGTCATTAATAATGAATTTTTTAGATCATAGTTGTCTTTTCTCCTGAATAATAATTCCATTCATAGAGTTTTAGAGCAAATATCAGCCCTAAAGCATTTTTCACAGACTTTAAAAAATTTATATAAGCATTTCCATTCATTCTTCATTTTTGTCTTACAGAATACATTATATATCAAGGGTCTCTGTAAATGCCTGTGAAACATAATAGACTGGAAGATATAAGGGGACCATTAATGATCTCAGTATACGAGATATTTTCATGAAATGTTAAAAATTGATGCTTTTTTGATATTTTAAAGTTGCTCTAGGGGAAAAAAATTAGGTTGAGATAAACTATTACTTAATCAGTATTCTAATACCTTTGTTTTATTAGAAAGGTGAATAATAATGCCATGGAAGGGCAGAAAGAAATATTGCCAGCAGTTGAGAGCCTTTCGTATTTGCTAAACTGTACTTTCGAAACCACAATATTTATATAATGCAAATGTTGAAGTTAGTTCTAATTAGTTGCTTATTAGAGATTTGCACAAGGCATTTACAATATGTCCATTTTTCTCTATTCATTCAGAATTTGGGGAAAATTGAAGGATCTAAAGTTTTTAGATCTATTTCGATTGATTTAATTTCTAATAATTTTGATTTAAAGTTCTTCATTGTTTACACAATTTTATTTTTAGTCACATATATGATCAAAAATAGTGTGATAATTAAAAATGTATTTATTATTTCATGCATATATTTCAAGGTGTGTGTAAAAGTGAAAAATAATTTTTATATGTATGTTTCATTACTTTTCAAGATTAACTTTTTTCTTTGGTACTTCTGTGGGTGATATTCTGTGTAAAAATAGGTCCCCTGTCTGCAAAGAACAATATTATTATGAATAACATACTTGATTGAGCTAAGATTTAGTCTAGTGGTGTTTTATAATTTTATTGCCGTTTTAAAGCATGAGTGATTTTCAGATGATCTGGACATTTAATTCTATAGTTTTGATTTTGTAACTTAATAGGGAAGACTTTTTTACATATGAAAATACTGTAGCCAGCTGCTTAAACAATACATTATGTTAAAATTTGCCAGATTGATTTTATCATTACAGTTCTGTACATAAAATTTCTTACATGATTATGCTAATTTTAATAGAAGCCACGTTTCTAATGTAATTTTTATAATGAGAATATGCTGCAATAAATTGCTCACAACTTCCTTCATTTCTACCTTATTCTTTCATAATCTTATAATGAAAACTATTTGATTATCAAGATCTCCAATAAATTATACATAAATTCATGTGGAAGAGAAAACATATATTCTCTTCCACATGAATGTGAAATTGCGGTATTTCTTGAGCATAAAATTTTAAGGCATTTAATGAAATTATAGCATTAAGTTTTTTAATTGCGAATGATAAAATGTGATTTTTTATAGCATTCAGTTTCTTTGATTGTAAGTGATAAAATGTGATTTTTCCTTTAGCAAAAAAGTTTAAAAAAAATTCTAAGGTTAATTTCTCTATTGTCTTTCGTAAATTTCTTTCCTCTGTTCAGTGAATTTACTGTATTCGGAATTATTTATCGTTAGTTCTCATCAGTAAACATATAGTAAAAATTTCAGTAAATTCAAATAATGACTTTCATATAAATTCTTGGGTATAATTTATGTGTTATTAAAAGTTAAAAAAATTAATATGTTGATGCTAAATTAGTAAAAAGTAAATATTAGTGTAAAAGAGTACATATAATAAAAAGGTTCATAGTTAAAGCTTGTTTACCATCTTCATCTTTGATAATATATAAAATATGTATTAATGAAATTGCTGTAATATATTTATTTCTTTTTTTATATCTTAATGAAATATTTTATTATATGTTTTTAGGTGTGTTTCGTAAATGATCCCAGACCTGAAAATCCTTTTGGTCAAACATATACTGTAGATTGTTTGGGAAATATGGTTGGAGGTCGTAGGACGCTGTATATTAATCTGAAAGTAGATCAGTTATTGAAGTTTGCTGCAGAATCAATAAAAAATAATGAGGTTTGTCTTAAACTGCTATTTTTTATTATAGATTAGTTAAATATATGTAATTGTTTACATTTTGTCAGTCTGGAAATTTGAAGTTAATGTAAAGGGGGGAAAAAATTTGGATACTGAACTTGTAGGATTACCAAACCAGTGTGAAAGATTAAAGGCATATGTTAAAGCTTATTTTATATAAAGCATAAAAGAATTTTTTTTTTTTTTGAAGCTTCTGACCATGGATCATTTTGCTTAATTTTGATATATCTCAGGAGAATGTTATTTTTTATGTAGATTTGAAATCTAAAGTTCCTAAAAGGAATATGCAAAAAAGAAAGTAAAAAAAAAAATATTAAATTTATTTTTGTTTCTGCTGTACATTATGCAGGTAACATGGTTATTGTGTTTGGCAAAGATTAAAATCTAATAATTTTTTTGCATATGAAATGTTTTAAACCAAGGTTTTAGACCAACATATATAGTATAAACCAGGTTTAAACCAAGGTATCATTTGTAAACCAACATATATAGTATAGATAGGTTTTAAACCAAGATTTCAGATGTAAAACAACATACATAGATAGTAGTAAAGGTTTTTCATCTTCACTTTCAGAATATATCTATGTATGTTTCAGAATGTATCTTTCAGAATATATCGAAACGTGTCAATATTTTTCATATGCATATACATTTCATATACATTTTCATATTCATATATATTTATGTGTAAATTACTTGACTCATATTGACAAACTAACTAGTAATCATGCAATACACCAGGGATGTCAAACTCATAGGTACACTTGGGCCAAACAACAAGGTTTAACTTTAGGCGGGCCGAAAAAAAAAAATCAATATTCATAGAAACGTAGATTTATTTCGAATACAATAATAAACATATATATATATTTATATAGAAAAGAACAAGAAAAATTTAATGTTTACGTCCTGATACTTGACATATCTTCTCTGCTATTATTTTTCCTATTTCGGGAGAAATTTTGTTTGCAGTGATAACTTTCAACGCTGACCCAAGGTGAGCATCATTAATACAGTTTCTAATAGGAGACTTATAACCTTTTATGACTGAAAATAACTGCTTGCACCGATAAATGCTACCAAACATGGAAATAATTTCATATGCGAATTTTCGAGTATTTTCAAACCTGGCTGGTAAATATTTGTAAAATTCAGGCACGCCCACTTCAATGAATTTTGCTTTCAAATTTGAGTTGCATTGAATTTCGATCACCTCCATTTGCATATATCTGGGTACTGAGTCAATACTTATTGAGAAAAATCGAACAAAAAAAAAAAAAAAAAAAAAAAAAAAAAAAAAAAAGTCTTCAAGGGAACTAAAATCATTAAACCTCGTTTCAAATTCAGTTGTTAAATTTGCAATTTTTTCTGCGTATTTTTGATACGAACAAGTATCATCTAAACTTGATTTGTTCATGCTGCACGTCAAGAAGTGCGTCAAATCTTCATTTTTAAGTTGTTTTTCCCAAAGAACTATTTGACATTTGAATGCTTTAATTATGTCAAACATGTTCGTAATGATATGATCTTTTCCTTGTAACGATAAATTTAAATTGGTTGAGTGTTTGGTTATATCAACTAAGAAAGATAAATCTTGTATCCATATTGGATCGTAAACGAACTTACGTCTTGATTTTTCGTTTTTAAAAACTGACATATTTCTTCTTTCAAATCCCAGAATTATTTGAGAATCTTGGAGCAAGATAACCAACTTACCTCGGTATAGTATGACAAACCCGAATATTCACTATCTAACTCACTTAAGAAAGCAGTGAATTGACGCTGATTTAAACCTCGAGATCTTATCAAATTTATAACTTTTTTATATATGACAAAACATTCTTCATATTTATTGCTTTCGTGCAAAGAACTTCTTGATGTATGATGCATATGATGAATGTTTGAACCGTGAATTTCACTAAGTTTTTTTCTTAGTAATGCTACGAAGCCCTTGTTTTTCCCGGTTATTGATGCGCCATCTGTAGCTACAGAATTTAATTTTGCCAAAGGTAGATTGTATTTCTGCAGAAGTCCAAAAACACAAGTAAATATATCTTCTCCTGTGGTAGTACCAGGCATCTGTATTAGTTCCAGTAATTCCTCAAAAATGTTAAAATTCTTGTCACAAGAACGAAGAAACACTGCTAATTGAGCTTTGCCACTAATGTCCGTGCTCTCGTCACAGGCAATGGAGAAACTTTCGAAACTAGATGATTTTGCTTTGATCTGATCACTTAAATTCGCGGCTAAATCAGTAACTCTTTCCGCAACTGTATTTCGAGACAATGAAATTGATTGAAAAGCCTTCACATTTCCAGGACAAACAATTTCTCCAGCTTTCATTAGGCATTCCTTGATGAAATCACTGTCAGTAAAAGGTTTCGAATGTTTAGCTATCAACTCTGATAAGACGTAGCTTGCATGTACTGCCGCTTCACTTTCTTGCAATACTTTATTAAACATGGACTGTTGCTTATTCACTCCTAACTTGAGCTCTTTCAACTTTTCTTCTCTCATTAATCCTTCGTAATTGTTATATTTCGATTTGTGTTGTTTGTAATGACGTTTAATATTATATAACTTTAGTACATTAATAGTATTATTACATATCAAGCAGATTATTTTATCTTTTATTTCACAGCAAAAATATTCTAATTCCCATTTTACTTGGAATATTCTGTGTTTGTCAGTGATTTTTCGTTTAATTTTACTACCACTTGGTTTTGATATAGACATACTGAATACAAAGGGCTGGAATAAACACGGTTAATGTTAAAAAGTTAACAAAAATTTATTCTTTCCACAAGAGATAAATCAAAATGCTGAAATATTTCTTCAAAAATATTCTAACAATATCACAAAATGTCAAACGTTTAGCAAAAATCAATTCAAAACAGAGAAACTAATTCTATCTCACAGCGAAATCGCTACAAATCAATCACAGCATTAAGTAAACAAACAGTTCGCTAGAACTACAGCTACTACTGAGATGAGTTGTTTGTTCTCGGCTTTTATAAGCTTTATAATTAATTTCTCGAATATACTGGAAACATCTATAAATATCTGGATTTTTGTGGATGGCAACAGCAATTACGAGATATTTATTTATTATGTATTAAATGCACGCGCTGTTCTATTTTTAACCTTCCAACGCAGCTGTCTTTTCAAAAATTGTCTGCGTTGCTAAGGCAACATGCAGCAAATCTAATTACAATTCTAAATAAAAAAAACTAAATAAATAACTATGAAATCCGTAACAATATGAATTAAGTAATAATTAATAATAAATCAAAGTGCATGCACATGCATGCACCAATATATCATACAAAACTATGATTGGAAAACTGAGACCATGAGTTCGGCCACATTCGGCTATCGGGGGATGCGTACAAGTTCTGAGTGCGCGTGTCCCCCAAAAGCTGAAGGTAGCTGAACGCAAGCTACTCACATGCATTTGTAATTTAAGTAGTGTGTGTGTCAGCTCGCTGTGAAGTAATCTAACAACACTGAATAAATTATCGTTAATTACTTAGCGGTAAACATTTCATTTTTTTCTTTGTTGATATGTTATTTTATTATTATATATTATTATTTGCCGATATATTGGCCGGGCCGCAAAAATATTTGTTGTGGGCCGCGAGTTTGACATCCTTGCAATACACCATTCTTTGATAGCACACATATGTACAAATAAAGGAAATGCAAACCTTTGATACACTTCACAGATATCTATTGCTGGTCTCCTATAATATTCCAGCTTCCTATAAAATAAATCTGACAGTCCCGGCAATCTGCCAACAGTTGGCATGCACACGAAAGTAGCACATAAATGTCTTCTATGTTGCCATACAATATAAATCTCATTAGATGCAAACTAACTGATATCCAGTATTGCCATAGTGAAACATTAATTGTAACACAAAACTAGCATAATTCACAAAATTATAAAAGAAATTGTGCACATGATTTTCATATCATCCTTCTTTAGAGGGTTAATTGTGCTTTGCGTTTTGATGTATAGTTGACCAATCAGAAGGATCACACAACCTGGCTTTTTAATTTAACTTTCTGAAATTCTTCAATTGAATTCAATATTACAGGAACTGGTTTTCTTTTGTGATAGCTTATGGCAAATAATACTAGACAATGCTCTTTTGACCTTAAATAAATCTGATTTTGGCTTTTTATTGTTAAAATGATCCATGTACTATGCACTATATCAAAAGCATCAAAAAATTTTTAAATACATTTTTATGTTTTGCTGTGTGTCAAAAATGTAAAGCAAAAAAAACATTTTTTTTTTTTTTTTTTTTTAATCTTTTGTAAAACTCATTATCACTTTGAGTACTGAATTATTTGAAGATTTTTATGCCCATGGGACAGATTTAATTTGTTGCTATATGGATTAATATGTAAAAGTAAAGCTCTAATTCTACTTCATTGCAGCTATCATTTTCACAATCATATAATGAAATTTTTTTTCCAGACATCTTAGGATAGCATATGGGGGAAAAAACGGGGGTAATAATAAAGATAAGTAGAATTAACATTATTTGCAACTGTAAGATGTCATAAACAAATGCCAGACAATTGATTGCGATCAACGCTTCACCCAAGTAAGCAGATGACGAGTTTCAGATGTCAAATGTACTCAAAGGGTTGATCAAAGTAATTGATTAAAGTGAATTGTAACTCATTGATTAAAGGAAATTTGCAAGGAGAATGTTTATAATTATAGGGAGGATTGCTTTTATAATTTTTATTCAAAATCAGCACTGTAAAAGTTGTATGTAATGCAAGAAGCAGTATTAATGAAAGCATAAACTATTGAAAATATCTAAAAATATTTTTATTTTCTTAGCCAGTGTGGTTTGGTTGTGATGTGGGAAAAGTTTTTTCTGGAAAACCAGGCATTAGTGATCTTAAAATGTAAGTATTTTACTTAAAATTATTTCGTGTGACATTTACATTAAATTTAATGTAATACTTACTGCAGCATGTATAGTACGAATGAACTAATTTGTTGCCAGTACTAATAACTAGTGCTAAATGTGACATAAAGTTGAGATGCTGCTATCAGTTGTATTGAATAAATGTGTTTTCATTATATGAATAATAAAATTCAATGAATCAAATGTATCATGCATATTTTTTTTAAAGCCACAATTACAAAGTGCTGTTTGGTGTTGATCTCCATAAATCACTCTCAAAAGCAGATAGATTAACATATGGAGATTCTGCTATGAACCATGCTATGGTATTTACTGCTGTGTCATTGGATGTAAGTATGACTAGTATACTTCACTTATTATTTACACTGATAATTTTATTTTGCGTTCATTTCAGCTGTATACGTTGCATTTTCTTCTTTACAGTTTTTTTTTTTTTTCATTTTTGTTAATTGTATGCATTGCTTTTGTACTATCACTGATTTCAAGTTTGCTTTCTGACATTGTGCAATTAGTTTTTGAGTTATTTAAGAGGGTGTCCTTTTCATCTCTCAGTAGATCATTCCTGGGAATTTTGATTGTATATTACATTTGTGCATTTCTTAACCTGATAATTCAATTACTGATAATAATTTTTCTGTAAGCCCACATTTGCTAGGTCCTAAAAACATTTTATAGCTATCACGTGTTTGGCTTACAGAGATAGAATAGCTGACTGCATGAAGTTTTTCACTTCCTCTTTATCTGAAGCATGAATACATTCCTGTTTTATATGGATCAGGGTTGTCAAATATTTTTTCAAAAGATAATTTTTTCTCCCCTGTGATCAATGTTATGATCGAATGGTGTACAAGGTAATGTGTAAAATAAAAATCTGATAGCATAATAGATAAATAGCTAAGAATGAATTGGTAACATCAACACTGTATTTATAACATGACTGGCTGACTTTTTGAGCAACAGATTGGTCTGATGATTGGTAGTTCTCAGAAAAGCATCTTTCCTAAAATTTGTATTCCTTCAGTGAGATAGATGTAATAGATTTCCTTATATGACTTGAAGTAGTAAATAATCTAATCTGACCTAACTTAAATTAATTCTACCTATAAACTAAACTCTACTTACAATAGTTGGACCCCCCCCCCCTCAAAAAAAAAAAAAAAAAAAAACCCACCCACTTTTTCTTTGAATCTTTAAATAGTAACGCTTTAAATCTAAGATTTTTTTTTTCTTCCATATTAAATTCTTCCCTACCTTGGGGGAGGAAGATATGCCCTAGAATTGCAAATTTATTTTGAGTACTCATTACAGTAGTGTTACGAAATGTCCGTCTGTGATAAAATAGCTTGCAGTTTTAGGCACGAAATTGCCCATATGCGTTCCTGAGTAATACTGGCTAAAAAATGTGTTTTCATTCTTTATCAAGTGTTGTCTTCAATCACTCCAAATCCATGAATCCGTAAAAATGCAACAAGGGCAGGCTGGACAAAAACAACAAAAAAAGGATAGGCCATTTATTTGCACCAATACCAGAAGACAAAGTTTTTATACCAAAACCCACTGTTATAATATGTATATTCTCAATTTTTAGTTAATACAAAGCCTTCCATTTATCTCAAACCACGTAGAATGAGAATGCTGCCCGGTGAATCATAGCAGTTGTTTGTAATGTCAAATTAAAACAGAAGGCTGTGTACCAGTAGTTTGTTAATGTTTATGTACTGCACTGCACGTTTCAAGATTTAATTAGAGAAAAAGTTAAAGAATATAAACTGTTCACATTTTAAGATAAATTCTGTAATGCGTAACTTAAATGTAGAAAACATGATCAAACATTAACGTAATTCGTAGGCCTAAATTCTTAAGAAAAATTGATTCAAACTTGTTTTATTTTTCACTGATAAATGATGACACAAAAATGAACAGGTAGCCCTAAGATAAAGAGTCAAAACTTACAGTATTTTAGTTTTTGAAAAAGTACTTAATAGAAACTGTTTCTGCATTACAACTCTCTTCCATGATGCAATGTCCCTTCACTTATGCAAACAGGTAATATCAGCCGGCATTGCTTCCTCGTGCTGACTGATATACTGCAATGTTGCTTCAATCGTCTTGAGCTCTTCAAATGTGGGATGAGATTTTTTCTGTTACGTAACGGTTCCTGCTTCCCTTCTGTTACTTCTCTTTGTCACTATTTCTGTAATGTCGTTGTCAGTTATTTCATCAACTTCGTCATTTGCCATCCATTCTGTAATGTCCTCTGCAGTGATATCCTCACAGCCTGGCACTTTCCCAGCATTGAAACAAGCTTAGAATTTTTATCTTCCACTTCAGTTTTGCACATTGTTTCAGGCTTGGAATGTCCACCTTCATGGTTCAAAAGAATTTTCAAGATCTTATATATGAGTGATATATGAGTGATAGCTTTGTAATCTTTTCCCATGCTTCTGTCGACCACCTTTTGACATCTAGCATGTCAGTCCTTTCAGAGTGGTCACAGTAGTCTTCATAATTATCAATCGCTGATATCAATGAACTGAGAAGACGCTGACTATATTTTTTAATTAGCTGTTCAAGGATTCCTTGGTCCATGGGCTGACAAACAGCTGTTACATTGGATGGTAAAAATAAAGCTTTGATATCTCCATCTGCGAGTTCATCAGTGGCCAGATGCGAAGGTACGTTTTAAGAATTAACAGAGCTTTTCTTGGCAAATTGTCATTTTTCAAATGTTTTTCTATAGCTGGTACGAATATTTGTTGGAACCAGGTTTTAAAAATTTCTGAATTCATCAATGCTTTTTTATGTGTGTAATATTGAGGCATTGATTCCTGATTTTTTAGTATTTTGAAAACTAGGTTTCTTAGAATTTTTTATTAACATCAAACTAAGTTTGCGATTGCCGGTTGCATTGTGCTGTGCAACCGGCAATCGCAATTCATTCCTTGTGTTTCTTGTATCCTGGTGCAGCAGCTTCTTTTTTTGATGCAAATGTTTTTGCAGAGAGCATCTTGTAATTTATATCAGCAGATAATGCTTCCCCACTTACTGTAATCTGGCGACTGCCGAATCATTTTTTTCAGCGATTAACCATCCATCACTGGCAGTAAACTCTGAATCTTGTCCTTTATTCCAAAGCTTTTTTCTGCACTTATTTGCTCAGTTATAGGCGCATCTTTTCCTCTCAAGTGTTCATGACACAAAAATAAAAGCTTCCTCAATTTCTTTATGCTTACCTGCATGGTTCAGCATGGCTTTTCTTACTTTTATTCCACTTCCACTAGCTTGTGCAGCACACCACTTTTCAATTTCTGCTCGATATTTTTTCCAGTCCTCAACTGTACTTCCAACTCCTAAATCCAAAGCTATATTTTTTGCTGTTACACCAGTGTCTAGTCACTGTATAGCATGTAATTTCTCCTCCACAGTCACTACAACTTTTTTCATTTATCACCCATTTTGAAGTCTTCAGTAATACTCAGTATTACTATAGCATACTTAAAAAAACACGAAGCACACCCTAAGAACAGTTTATGAATACAGTACAGATAAATTGTAATCAGAAACAGCAGCAAGTGTACTGTATTAAGGTCCACTACACACTGACAAAAAAATTAACAAAGAGTAGAACTCTGCTCTCTGCCTGTTACAACTTGTATTTTGCACACAACACATAGGAGGAATGTAGCAGACGCCCTTTTCCAATGCCTTAGCCATGTAATTTGTTCAACATTTAATCACAATAAAAGAAACCCAGGCTAGATAGTCGCTAACTGGATACTCGGGAGTCTGTTGTATTTTGAAAAGATAAGCGTTGAAGTATTTTCCGAATGACTGCTGTAAACAGTTAACTTTAATATTACTTTATATATATTACTGTTAATATATCAAAGCTGATTATTGAAAAATATTTACTAGATATATTTTAGCATTTCATTCATTTTGTTTTCTTGGAATCAAATTCTTCTACTGTGTTGATAGGATTAAAAATTTGTGTTAGTTTTGAAGTAGTGTAATATATAATTGTAGAAGCGGTTTTATAGACATTTTGAGCAAAATAATATGAAATCAAAATGTTGCTCATGAATGGGCAGATGTTTAAAGAAGACGCATATTTTCTCACTATTTTTGCTTGAATGTTAAAAATTTTAAACTTTTTCATCAGTTGTTGTTTTGTGTAGTTGCATTTTGTTAGTTGGCTAGATAAAATTCTTACATATCACAGTAATGAATACAAAATATATGGCAATTTTTCCTGGAAACATTCTTCTGAAATTAATTTGAATATCAGATTTCTATTTGCAACTTTTTATGATGATGGGAAAAATTATAATTGACCATTCAGAAGGATCAAAGAACCTGACTTCGTTGCATTAAATGGAATGTTATAGGAATTTCTTTTCTTGTGTGATAGCTTATGGCAATGAGTACTAGACAATGTGCTTTTGACCATAATTATATCTAGCTGATTTTAACTTTGTATTGTTACAGGGTTCGTACGGTCCTTAAGTTTTTTGGAATCGATTTTTGGTCCTTAAAAATCCTTAATTTCGGCCAAAATTGGCAGAAGGTCCTTAATTTTAATCATCAGAAATAGCTGTCTGTTTTTTACGACTGCCATTTTGAGTGTGAATTAGCATTTTGGAGGAATATTTTTGGTGATTCAACTGACAGATATGGTTATCTTTTGAATGGGTTATAATTCGTTCCTATTTCTAATATAAATCGTGGGATTTTCGAGTTTTATAGTAAAAGAAGTGCAGCATAAGTATTTTGAAATGATTTCATTTTTTCTAATGAAGAGCTCTTAAACAACTTTTGGCTTTTCGGGATGTGAATTCTTTTATTAAACGGCTCTGAATTTGGCGACTTATCGCATTATGGTGATTTTAAGATCAGTTTCTGTAGAAAATTTTTAATTTCGAGATCTGGGAATTTTTCAACATTTTTTTAAAACCTTGTAACATGGATAATTTTCATTAAAATAGTGGTAAAATATTGAAATTATGTTAAAAAAATAACATTAAAATAAAACGTTTTTAATTTTCGCTGTCATATTATAAAGTTCCATTTTGGCCGCTTTTTATACAATATTTTGAATCTGCAAAGTAAGCAAGGTATACGAAACAATTAATGAAACAGTTTTAGCAAAAGCAAAATAGCTATGTAAATAATTTAAAATGTCTTTTTAAATTTTTTCATGGTAAGAGTTTTTCCAATGTAATTGTCTCAGAGTATTCAGTTTTCCTCTATAAAAATAATTTTACGCCTTTTGGTTCTGATATTTTTTCTCAAAATATTTCTGGCTTTTTACTGTTACAGAATTTTTCTTTAGGATTTTAGACATTGCAGCTTAGAAAGTTTAGAAGGCAAAATTGATAGACCCAAGATTCTAGAAAATTACAGAAAAATGTCTCCATGCTATTAACACGTAACGAATGTATTTTGCATAAAGTTTACGATGTATTTCTTACTTTTTGGAGAAGGTCTGGAAGAACAAAGAAAACATAATATTTGAATATTTTACTTCTGATACTAGAATCTTTCTCTTAACATGTTTATCTTCTCTTTATTTTTTCTAATTTTCACTAGACACAGACATGGAAAATAGCAAAAATGCTTTTATTCTTATCAGAAGGACAGGCATTATAGAAAGAAATTTTTTTCTTAGTAAAGAAATTGAAAACTGACAATTTAAATGATTCCTATTATATGTCTGAATGCATCATACACAGGGCCGGCGCTAGGCATTTTCCCACCTGATGCAATCTGTACGGATCCTAAATTCTGCTTCCAATGCCTGCTCTAAATTCTAAAAGTTTTGCCATTTCTAGATTTTGTTGCTTGGTGTGTCACTAAATTCTAAAAATTCTGCCACACCATCTTTGTAACCAGCCCTTACCATATATATTTCATATTGCTTCTGAAAGTGCATATTACTAAAGATATAAAATTAGCAGCTTTTTCTATGCTTTCTAAATTTAGTGTTTTTAGAATAACAGAAATCTTTAATTTAAATTCTAAAATGAAAAGGAAATGTGCTGAAGAAAGATTCTTCAAAAATATGTACTGCTATTAGTATGTACAGTTATTATTATGTAAATTACCCAGTTGTTTATAATTTCAGCCTTTACTATAATTTCCCATTTCTGTTTTCTCACCAGAATGCAATTCGCTTAGATAGTTTTTAAACTGAGGTGTATGGAGTGTAAGACAGAGTGTGTTTCTATTCTCCACGTACTTGCTGCATTAGTTCTTGTCCAAAATGAGACATAAAAAAATCAATATAAAGCTAACTATTAATTTAGAAGTAAAACAACAATCTTAATAAGTCTAACTGTTAATAAAACATAAATAAAATGTCACTTATCTTCTTTCTAATATGTCCAACTATTATAAGTGTAAAATATTTAATGCTACTTGATAAATTTCATTAAGTTTTATTCTATAACTTATTAATAATTATGTTAATTAAGTTATGTTTAATAGTAATGCATCCTACTTTTATGTGTAGGACAGTATTACAAAAATGAAGTTCAGGCACAGATAGTATTTTTAATTGAATTTGTTCAGTTCTCATTTGCTCATAGATCCTTAATTTTTTCATTAATGGTCCTTAAATTCCGTGTGCAGAAAAGCATATGAACCCTGTGTTAAAATGGTCCATGTACTATAAGCTATAAGAAAGTCATTTAATTTTTTTAGAATACATTTTTATATATTTTGCTACATCTACAAAAAATGCAAAATCAAAAACATGTTTGTTTTATCTTTTATAAGACTTTAATGAAGTTCATTAATCAGTTTTGATTAAACAAACGTGATTAATGCAGATCTACAAAGAGAATGTTTATAATTATAGGGAGATGATGATGATTTTATGATTTTTTTTTTCAAAATCTGTACAGTAAAATGTAAATCAAAATCAGCATTGTATGTAATGCATCAAAGCTAAGTATTAAAAAAATGTAGAATACTGAAAATATCTTTTTACCTCCTGATTTTAAAATGAAGTTTATTTTTAATCACACATTACAAGCACTTTGCACAGATACTGTATCATATTGTTATAAAATACTAAAATAATGATATTTTGCATCAGATTCTAGGTTAAGTGTTAAATTGTTATGAAATGGAAAGGCTGATCTCAGTAAATGCATAAATTCCATTTTATGTTATTTTTTTACAGGAATAATAGTATTTTATAACTTATCAAGAATTATAATACTCTTACTAAAAGTGTTTTATTTGGAAGAAGGTATGTTCTATTTGTAATACTTAATGTTCCACATTAGCCAGAGTTATCTTCAGTTTATTTCTGGAATGTTAGTTAATGTTACAGAAAAATGTGTAAACATTATAGTGTATGTTTGATTCTTTTGCAGGCTAATGGAGACCCAACAAAATGGAGAGTGGAGAATTCTTGGGGAGATGACAGAGGAGAGAAAGGTCTTTTAATTTTAGAATATTTTTTATATTACCTTCTTAACTATTCAGTATTTAAGTAGTACTAATTTTTTTCTTGAATACTATAAAACTTACCAAGTATTCCAAGTAGTATAACATTTTGAAAGTTTTTCCCTTTTATTTTTGGCTTAAATCAAAGCTAAGAAATTGATGTATGTAATATATAAAATATGTAACTCAAAATTAGTAACTTTAATTTTGCATTGGTCCTTTTTATTCCCTATTTTAATTTGGCCATCTCCACTTTCTTTTCTAAATTGTTCATAATAATTTTTCTGGACTATGTTTTTCCGTTTCATGTTTGCTTACATACTTCTGCATTGTGGCAGATCCAGAATTTAAACAAATCAAGTTAATAAATAGCACAGGTACTATTGCACAGCACTGTTCTTTTTTTTTTATACTTCACTTTGATTTTTGTCTGAAAAAATGTGATATGCTGTGAAAAATTGTGGGGTGCTTATTGTACCCATAATGATATGTAATTAAGATTATGTGTGCTCAGAATTATTTATCAAGAAATAAAATTGTGTCTTGTTATCTATGCTGTGTGCAAGTTTCTTCTGCGCTTTCCATCTGTATGCCAGCCACATAACTACAACTATCTTGCCCATGACTAAAAAAATAATTGGTTTCTTCTCTCTCATGCATCCTAAATTTATTACAGTTCATAGAAACCATCTATTGAATTACTACATATATATATATTACAAATTTATGAGTTTTAGTAATAAATAAATAAAAATAAAGATAATAAAATTTGTGCACTTGAACTGCAATGTTAAAGTTAAGATATTATTAAAATATTTTAAGAATTTTTTCTTAAAAAAAGATTGTCCTATCCATGTGAAAAAAATATATATGGAATTAGAGGTGCTGCTAGGCATTCATGAGTGAGAATGTATTAATATTTGATATTATTTATATTATCAAAGCAGGAAAGTATTTGACAGATTTGATTCTTAAATTCAGTGTAAATTCAAAACTGAACTATAACGTTGTGTGTTTACAGTAGACTCTTACACAATGAATGTAATGTATTTTTGTGATGGCATTCATTATTAGTATTGATTATGTAAGCAAATACGGAATCAAGTGAATTGAAAGTAAGAAAGACACTTATTACGTTTTAATTGAAAGTGTGGCAGGTGTATACAAACCAGTTTCCCTTAGAAGCCCTCTACAAATGCATCCCTCTTCTTAGGCTGATAGCCTTAGTGTGCTTTGCCAAAATCAACTAAACCAAATCTAAATCCAACTGTGGGAAACAAGAACAGTGAGAAATTCTAATTGTTTTTTAAATGAAAGTAATAAATGGTAGTTTGAGCTAAACTAACAGAATGGATTGTCATAACATTATCATTACAATTAACTGTTGTCAGGGATAATTAAAGATTCTTTTAGTGAAAGAAGTATTCAGCTACGCTGCTGTATAGAGAAAATGCAGCAACATGAGAAAAAAGTTTGAAATAAAATAAAATTTGATTCACAAATACAGAAATATATGTAAAGAAAATTTTAATTGCAAACGATTTCATGATATTCACTGATAATTAATATGGTGTAACATATTTAAAGATACCATACATAGCTTTGTAAATTGTTGAATACTAGAATTTCATTCATATGCAGTTCATCATTCATTCAGCATTGAATGTTTGTTGGCGTCAGCTTTGGCCAGAAGTTACCAACAATTTAAAAGGTTTTGAATGACATGAAAACAAAATGAAGTTTCAAATATGGAAGAATGAGAAATCCCAGAATTAATTGAGAAATGATGAATGAAAAACTGGATGATGACCAGTTGATAATAAAAAAGATAAAGCACCTCTAAGTTGTAAGAAGTTAAACAAATTGTTAAAAAGAGGCATAAAAATTGATTTTGTAATTGAGATTGACCCAAATAAAGAAAGGGCATTTTGTGAGAGCCAAACTCTCTGCTCCTTGCTGTGAAACATTTTTTAAGAGTCACATCAGTCATTGTCCGAAGCAAAAATCAGCAGCTGTTTAAAAAATAATTGTATTTTGTACTTACCAAAAAGTAATAAAAATCTTTTCAATTAACATTTGTTTCTTTTTTGCCCTTTGATCAAAACAGTATTTAGGCCTTTTTTTAAAAAAAGAATTGCACATACTTTCTTAATCTGCATTATACCAAACACATTTTTTCCATAGGAAGTTAATTTTGTGGAATGCAATTATGTTACTTGTGCAGTCTGTTTATGACGTAAATCTTCACATTTGGAAAGTGTTTACTGTATTTACAGTGTCAGGGTTCATACTGTGCATAAGAGTCCTTAAATTTTTTGGAATCAATTTTTAGGTCTTAAAAGTCCTCAATTTTGGCAGAAGGTCTTTAATTTTAATCATCTGAAATTTCTGTCTGTTTTTACGACTGCCATTTTGAGTGTGAATTAGCATTTTGGAGGAATATTTTTGGTGAATCACTGATAAATATCTCTGGTTCATGGGTTATAATTCGTTCCTATTTCTAATATAACTGGTGAGGTAATAGTTTCATAATGAAAGAAGAGAAACATAGCATTTCAAAATTATTTCATTTTTTCTAATGAGACCTGTTAAACAACTTTTCGCTTTTGGGGATGCAAATTCTTTTATTAAATGGTTCTAAATTTGGCGACTTATCAACATTTTGGCGATTTTAAGATCAGTTTCTATAAAAAAATTTTAATTTCGAGATCTGGAAATTTTTCAATAATTTTTTTTAAACATTGTTAATGGTAATATATTGATGTTGTATTTAAAAAACAACATTAAAATAAAACATTTTTAATTTTCATTGTCATATTATTAAGTTCTGTTTTGGCCACTTATACAATATACTGTATCTAAAAAATAAACAAGGTACGCTATAAAGTGCAATTTACAGAACATTTCTTAGCAAAAGCAAAATAGCTATGTAATTAATTTAAAATGTCTTTTTAATAGTAAGAATTTTTCCCATGTAATTGTCTCAGAATATGCATCAGTTTTCTCTATAAAATTAATTTTACATTTTACCCTCTGATTTTTTTTTATAAAATATTTCTGGCTTTGTGCTGTTACAGAATTAGTAGAGGTGATTTTTCTGTAGACATTTTCTTAGACATTGCAGTTTAGAAGGATTTGAAGGCAAGATTTATAGACCCATGATTCTAGAAAAATGTGACAAAATGAAAAATGCTTCCATGGTATTAACGTGTAATGGATGTATTTTACAGAAAGTTTGCGATGAATTATGTATTATTTTGGAGAAATCTGGAAGAACAAAGAAAACATAATATTTGAATGTTTTACTTCTGGTACTAGAATCTTTTTCTTAGTATGCTTATCTTTCCTTTATCTTCTCCACTTTTCACTAGACACAAGCATAGAAAATATCAGAAATGCTTCTAATCTTATCACATGGACAGGCATTATACAAAAAAATTTTTTTATTAATGAAGAAATTGGAAACCGACAATTTAAAAGATTCATCTAATATGTCAATGCATCATACACAGGGCTGGCGCTACACATTTTCTCACCTGGTACAATCTCTGTGGATCCTAAATTGTGCTGCCTAATGCACTTCTAAATTCTGCTTCCAATGCCTGCTCCAAATTCTGAAAGTTTTGCCATTTCTAGATTTTGTTGCTCAATGTGTCACTAAATTCTAAAAATTCTGCCACACCAGTTCTGTAAGTTCTTCTGAATGTTCATATTACTAAATAAATAAAATTAGCAGCTTTTTCTATACATTCTAAATGCATTTAGTTTTTTTAAAATAACAGAAATCTTTAATTAAATCCAAAAATTCTAAAATGAAAAGGAAACTTGTTGAAAAAAGAAACTGAATACATAAAGAAAATTATTCTTCAAAGATATGTACAGTTATTGTTATGAAATAACTGAGTTGCTTATAATTTCAGCCTTTACTGTAATTTTCCATTTCTATATTCTTACCAGAATGTAAATCACGGACAGTTTTTAAAATGAGGTTTTTGAAGTGTAAGACAGAGTGTGTTTCTGACCTCTGCTTGCTGCATTAGTTTCTGTTAGCTCTGATAATCTGTAATTATTCCTCTTTGTTTTATCGTTGCTGATATTTGAGTTTGTTATGGTGATAGAGTTACTGAGCCAGCTTAAATTAAAAGTAAATTGTATAGTCTTTGAACACTAGTCCACATTTTTAGTTTGAATTTAACTTTTCTCCTTGTTTTCTTGAATTTAACTTACATCACCACGAGCTGTTAACATAAGATCTAGGATTTGTTAGCATAAGAACATACCTTTATGTTGCGAGTCCTTCTTAAATAAGAGGCTTGTTTAAACCTTTGTCTGACTTTGTAGTTTCTTTTCTGACATAGCAATATTTCGCTTCATGTCTGTTGGGGAAGGGGTTGGACTATATAACTTTTACCAAATCAAACATTGTGGAGAGGTTGACAATTTAGGAGATAATGCACAGTAATGATAAACTAGTAAAAATGCTGGTTTGCATATCAACAAACAAACATATAGACAAATTTCTAATTGTTAGAAAATATGCTTAAAGAGAACGAAATCGATATAAATTAGCCAGAATGTCTTCACAGTGTTGTGTTTTTTTTGTGTAGTATTTTACCATTTCATGAATTCTGTAACCATATTCATAGATAGGAAACAAATAACAGAAATCTATATGAAAAATAGTTTCTGATATTTAAAAGAATTTTGTAAATGCTTTTAAAATAGATTGTAGTTTACCAATTGTCAAATGTTAAACATGTGTACCTTTTAACATGTTTGTTAGTTAAGGCTTTTATTGAGAACATATATATTGATAATTCATTTTTTTTTTTCTGTCTTACAGGATATTTAATGATGACAACAGAGTGGTTTCATGAATTTGGATATGAAGTAGTTGTGGATAAGCAGTATGTTCCCAAGGACATTTTGGAAATACTTAAAATTGAGCCAAGAGTTTTACCAGCTTGGGACCCCATGGGTTCGCTTGCTCAATGATTCCAATTTTAGTTTTAATGCAATACTTAATATCTGCTGGTATTGTAAATGATAAAATTGGCAGCATTTCAAGCTGACAGATTTATCGAGTTCATAAACAGTTGAAGTTAAACATTTTTTTTTTTTTAAATGCGAGTTTTTACTAAGAATTTCACAAAAAGGCAAATTAATGAAAAACTGATGAAAGGAAGCAAACATATGAGAAACATCTGTTAAAAAATAGTAATCATGGACTTTTCAGATTTGTCAAGTCATTATAAATTATTTTAAATAAATCACAAATGTCTTTTCATTGAATTTTTGTGGATATGTACTTAATATATTTAATTATGAGTTTGTGAAATAGTTTCTGCATCTTATTAAAAATTGTGAATATTTTATACAATAACAATGTATGTGTAAAAGTTCATGAATGTTTCTACAGAGTGTTATTGATCTTACGAAGTAGTAAATAGTTGTCAAATTAAAAAATTTTTCTGCTTAAATAGCAAATTATGACATTTAATAACTCTGAGTGTCATTAATATAATTACTCTTTCTGCCAGAGCAAATTACCAAAATGTAATCAATGTACCAAAATGCAATCAAAGCAATGAAATCTTAATGTATGTCTTTTTTAAAAATAATAAACAATTCCAGCACAGTGTTGTATTTATTTTTCTCAACAGTCTTTTTTCAAATAACAAATGGTAGTGTGTTAAAGTTTTTTTTTTTTGCAAAATTAGATATGATTGATCCAATATGTCATTATTAGTTATGCTTTCATTGAAAGAATACAGTGCAACAGTAAAGAAAAGTACCTTAAATCCTTCAAGGAGTGTATTATTTCTTAAGCTTCTAATTATATGATTAGTGTGGTAGTTGATTCTGATCAGTATGCAAATGTGGAGTACTGTTTCAAATTGGATCTTTTATGATTCAAAACATAAAGTTGCATGGGCTGTTACATTACCTTGTCTACTGTTTGGTGGACTTCCTGGGCATTAAAGCCATTTGCAGGTATGGCTGTTGAGGAGTCAAGGTTTTTGGCTATCACTTTTACTTCAGATGTGACCAATTCATTTGTGCACTCCATTGAGTTCTTCAATCGAACTTTGAATCCTTAATAATTTCATTTAATTATACAACAGATTATTAGTGCGTCAAATGTTTATTATTACTCAATAATTCTGTAAATTATTTAGCATTTAAATAATTTAGCTATGTTTATTGATTCTAAACATTCTCATATTATTGACAATGAATTAAAATATCCAAATTAATGATTCCATTCTAAATGCCACAGCTATCGAATGAGTAACCCGTATCTTTTTTTGTGAATGATATTTGCTTATTGCAGTGTCTCATAACAAACCCTTATGCATTCTTTCTTCGTTTAATTCTGCCACATCTGCTGATATACCTTTGAATTTTCATCAAGACTATTCAAATGAGTTTCATTTGATCATGCTTCCATAATACTAAATAAACTATTTCAATTAGCTTTTATATTAATAGTGCTTAATATAAAGTTTATAATTTTAGCAGCACATGTTCCTTTCCCCAAGTAAGGTCTTACAGGTATCGGTTATTTTTATGCATTCTAAATTAAAATATGTAATATTCTTAGATACATACCTCAGCTATCACTATCCAATGATTTAAATTTTATCAAAGGTCATTTAATTTTTTTAGAATACATTTTTATATATTTTGCTACATCTACAAAAAATGCAAACCAATGCTTTTAAATTAAATTAGTAGTAATTTATATTTAGATGAAATACATAAAATTGCAGATGTATTTTGAAATAAGCTGAATCTTAATTTAATCAAGGTCTTCATATTAGCTCAGCTGTTTATAGACACTAGCATACAAACAGGATTTATTATGTATTTCAGCTATAAATGAAAAAATGCACATTAAAAAAAATTTTTTTTTTAATATTTCATTTTATATTCCTTTTCAAAATGCAAATTATTTATTAAAGAGTAGATTTTTTTTATTAATTTCCTGTAAAATCATTAATACTCACAATTTTCCTGGCATATGCACAGTATAAATGATATAAGCCAATGATAAGAAGTTTTCCCAATTTCAGTCAAATTTTATATTTAAAATAACAATCCAATTTTTAGATACTTTTACAAAAATGGTGCTTATGTGCTTCTTTTTGGAAGAATAAATTAAACTTTCAATAACAAAATGCTTACAAAATTGTAACTTTTTTTTTAACAAAATGGAATGAAAGAATTCTATATTTTTTAATCATTTCATTACATGAAATAACCATTATGTCAGTGGTTTTGTGACAAAAATAATGTATTGTGCTTCATTATGGAAGAAAAAATTTCAGTAATGGAGTTACAGAATTAGTCTTATGAATTTTTTTTAAACAAAGAAGTTAAAAACAAATGTACACTGCTCAAAAAAAAAAAAAAAAAAAAAAAAAAAAAAAGACAGTCCTATATCTGCCGATTTACTGGCCGATTGACAAATTCAAATTGCGTTCTTCATGTCTCGAAAGCGCGACTTAGGATATATTAGTTAGTTTTATATATACACTATTCTAACATAGGTATTTTGACACAAATCGGACTTTTTCTGAAATAGCATACAATTTTTTTACATATTTCGATTCTACGACTCAAATCAAGCCTAAATATGAAATTTTGTAAATTTGGAGGAATTTACGGAGAAATTCACAATTTATGTTGGCAAATTTTTGTCATTTGCCCAAGAATAGTTCCTTTGGCGAACTTCTTAATATATGGCAACCTAGTTTCCTTTCCTGGAGCGGAAAAAAAGTCACCATCGTTCCTTTTTTTCCAAATAATATCTTTGTATAATTTTTAATTATAACTTATATTTTAAATAATTTTTTTCTTTTTTTTTCGATTTCATTTTAATTGTTTATTGCATGTTTTTTTTTTTTTTTTTTCGATAACTATTTTAAAAATTTCTACTTACCTCTTCGAACTGCGTAAATAAGGTGCAGCATTTATTTTTTTTCAAATAGTTCTTTATATATATTTTTGTCATAGTTATTATTTAGTAATTTTTAAATTCTTAACTTTTATTTTAATTGTTTTGTGTTGCATTGTCTCTTCAGATAATTGTTTTAAAATTTTCTATTTATTCCTTCGACTTGAGCATTTAAATATATTTATTAATATAAATTTTCCAGAATTGATTTTATTTTATTTGAATGCGTTTCTTTCGGAGGAATACTTGTACCCAGACTACGATTCGTTTGAAACACTGCATATATTAAAAGAGAAAATACAGTAAAGCACAGTTCACGCCTTCAATGTTCCTTCAGAAAAGATATATATAAATAAGAGAGACATTTAACTTAGGATGACTTGCATACATTGCTTTAAACAGTTTTATCATTGTGCCCATTGCTTTACACAATTTTATCCTACATTTGGCTTCTTAAATGTTATTCATATTTTAGTCAAATATTTATTTTTTGAAATCGTAAAATCAAATATCATAAATTAAAAAGTTTTAAATTTAAAAAAAATACAAATACTAAATTTTACCGTAAAATGTATTTTTTCTTCTCTTTTTCTTCAGGCATTCTACTTTATTCTTGCTCTTTTTCTTTATTCATTTATTTGCTTGTTTTCTTTAGTTCCGCATATTAAAAAGCATCCAAATTTTCGAATTCTGATATTTTTTGACAATCATTTAAATAAAGTTATCGCCTCCATTTATAAAGGCCCCCAAAACGGCCGAGCGTTAAAGTCGCTGAACACTGGTAGTTCACTCCGGTGTTCGAATCCCGGTAAACAGGCTGGTTGCATGGGCGTTTTCGTGGATTTTCTCATGTGTACCGTGTATGCCAGCTGATTTCCCTTAGAATTTCTTCACAAAGGCATCCTTCCTTTTAGGCAGATAGCCCCTGCTTGACGTAACTTAATAATTCAATTCAATCCATTTCATCAATAGTTTGGTCAGAGCTTTTATCAGTCTTTAGAGGCAAACATTTTGAAGGTATGAGATCAAAGGAAAGACTGGTTTCATCAAGAGTTTTGGTTTATTTAATTATGACAAAGCACACTAGGGCTATCTGCCAAGGGGGGGATGCCTTTGTGGAGGACTTTCTAAGGGAACTGGCTGGCATACACGTTGCACATGGAGGAAAACCACGAAATGCCCAAGCAGCCAGCCCATTCGCGGGATTCGGACCCTCGGACCGAATACCAGTGTTTCAGACTTTCGCTCGGCCTCTGTTTCATCAGGAGGAAAAAAAAACATCTTTAGGTGACATCCACATACTCACTGGATAAACTCCTCAATCTTCAAATAATTCGAAATGAGAAATCATGGGATTCTCCGTTTATGATACCTATGATTTCTATAACGAATTTAAATTTATACAACCATATATTCTAAACCATATTCTCTTTTCTGTTAACCACAAGCTCATTAATGGTATTTGCTGGTGACACTCCAAGTGTTTTTTCTTTGAACACCTAAATTCTTGAAGTATCCTGAAAGTATCTTCAAATGCGTCCAACTTTTTGAAACATCTTGGTATGTCTGAGAGCCAAATTTCCCTGCAATTTTTGCTTATTTTCTTTTTTCCCTAATTTTCCTCTTTCCTTCTACAGTTTATTTTTCAGTGCACACACAAGAAAATTAAGATTTTTCATTGCTAGACTTCCATAAATTTTGCTTCTTGTCAATTTTTTAAAATCAATTACATGAATTGCGTTTCAGCTGAAGACAGCTTTCATTTTCTAGTCATTTTAACTATAAATAAAAAAAAGCGAAGTCCAAGATAAATATTTTAATTTTTGCTAATGACAAAGAAATAAAACAGTCCAGCAGGGTTAATTCTGTACCACCATTACCCGATTCTTATATCGGCTGAAACAATCTAAATCATATTAAAGATCATTTTTTTTATACAATCTATAACGCGCGAGAAAATTAGCTTCTTAAAACATTCTTTCTAAGAGGATTAATATAAAAGATTATATTTTTATATATATTTTTTAAAGCTGGGGGACTTGAACCAAACTGTTAAATTTTAAAGTTTAATTTACATGGTGGTTTTAAAGTTCCAATTTGAAATGGTCATAAAAGGAAAACTACCGTACCAATGTTATCAAACTGGGAATCGTGTAAAGAGGTTATGGGAATTATTTTCAGCGAGGGAAAAAATAGTTAAAAACTCATCACCAGGGGAAATGACGCTGTATACAAGATTCTTAAATGAAATAAGACACGAAAACATCTGTTTAAAATGTGTTTAATATTTTCCGAAACATGTTACAAAGCATGTTCAATGTAGCGTCTAGCATTTCCCGAAAGCAAGTTAAATCCTGTTACTGCATTTCAACAGCAGCTCTTAGCATCGGAGGAATGTTACGGACATGTCAGTGTTTAACATTTTTCATTTCTGCCAAATTGTTTAGATTATCACCATAAAACAGTTTTTGAGAAAACCCCATAGCTAAAAGTCACAGAGGTTGAGGTCTGGTGGGAAGAGGGAAGTGTGGGCTAAAAACGTTCATATTCGTGAAATGTTGCCTAAGTAACTGTGCGACACACGTGAGGTGGGGCCCAGCCTGTATAAATTGTAGTATCTAAAATGCCACGTACTGCAGTTCATGTATCAGGAACATTTTAAATTGACTCTAAATGAGCTGCAATC